CGCCCCCCCTCTTGGGATTCAACTCCTGGGAGGTCAAATTCTGGTTTTGCACTGGTCCGAAGCCAAGCATACTCCGGCGTCATCCGGCTTACGTAATCCCGCTTAATCTGGCTCAATCCTGCTTAATCCCGCCTGATCCAAGGCCCACTGGCTTTACAGCCCCCCAAAGGGGCTTAATTCTCCTTACTCCTTCCGACGAAAACCTCCCAGTAGTTGCCTCCTCCCCTCTCGTCAAGCAGTGGCGAAGCGTCCTGGCTCGCCTATACCAGAGACTGTTCTTAGAACTGATCGTGGTTTCCACGACGTGTTTTCAGAACATTCTTGGCTGGGACCGTCTTGTTTTGACGCATCGGGTTTATGTTCTAAGAACATTGTTTTTGTTCTTAGATCAATTGTGGGTTCTGATAACATTTCGTGGTGGGACTATAGGAGGAATGCCGGGACGGTCGGTCCCTGCTCGATCTCGGGTCGGGACGGTCGAGACGGGCACCGAAGCAGGACTCTCGGAGGTTGATAGACCTACCCTGACGCGTCGATCAGCGAATTGGCCGTTTTCGGTTCGCGAGAGGGTGTCGCGGCCGTCATTTTTGCGGGTCCAGGTCCGTCGGTCTCGCACCCAGGCCGTTTTCACTAAAGGGAGGTTTACGAAAGGGAGATTTGTCCACCGCCGAGACTCGCTATCCGCGCCGCCGCGGACGTTGCCCATTTGAGACAGGAGGCCGCCTGCCCAACAGCGGCCGCCGTCGGTTGCGGACAACCTTTGCGGTTGGGCATCGTACCCATGCTTTCCGTACCCTCTTCGGGCGTCCAAGTCGGGAGGGGGGAAGGGTCAGAGGGGATAGGGTCTTGGGGAAATCAGGAGGAGACGAACGACCCGAGCCTGGATCTTCTGTTCCAGGTCCTCCAGGGAGACGTTGTGACTCTGGCCTGGGCCCAGGAGTCTTGCGTCTCTCCGACCCTGTCTGTCCTTGTCGTCCTTCCTTGGCCTGGACTTCCAGGGAGGCGTTAGGACTCGGGGAAAAGCTCCCCGAGTCTTACGTCTCTTCGGATGCAACTCCTGGGAGGTCAATTTCTGATTTTGCTCTGGTCCGAAATCTGGCTTACTCTGGCTTATTCCCGCTTCATCCGGCTTACTCCCGCGTAATCCGGCTCGATCCTGCTTCATCCGAGGCCCACTCCGGCGTAACAGCTCCCAAATGGGGCTTAATCCTCCCCAATCTTATGGGGCTTAATCCTCCTTAAATCTTTCCGACGAGAACCTCCCAGTAGTTGCCTCCTAACACGTCCCCGACCCCGAGTTTTTCGTGGTGGTGGGGGGGGAACGGTTCGGGCCTCCGAGCGTCGAGGTCTTCGACCGTCTTCGTCGGTCCTCTTGCGGCTCTCTGGCCTCGGGGTGCCTTCCGGCGGCCGCGCCCCGCCGATTGGCGTCCCGGGGGGGGGGGCCAGATCGGAGGGATAGGTTTAGTCAGGAGGGGAAAAAACACACAGACACAATTAATCGGCGATTCCCAGAAAATATGGGAAAATATGGGAAGTGGGGGGGAAGACAAAAACCCAGAAAATATGGGAAAATATGGGGGATCATTTTATTTGTGTGTATTTATTTGTGTGTCCCAGTTCCCCTTCGTTTAGGAAGGAGCGCATCGACCGCCGATGGCGTTCCAGTGCGTCGCCGAGGATGGGCCTCATAATAGCCCACCCCGCCCAGGGGGGCGTGCGAATTCGCAATCTCGGGGCCCATCGCCGCTTCGTCGTCGAAGCATCGCCGATGTCTCGCGCACCTTGCCTTTCCTCCCGACGAGCAGCAAGCGTGTCCGCCTCCGCGCCCCCTCGGTCTGTTTCCTGGGGCGCGGCCCCGTGGATCGCCAGTCGCAGGGATGCGTGCCGCGCAGGGCATCCGCGGAGCACACGCTGGGCCCACGAGGCCGCGGATACGAAGAGACTTCCCGCCCGCGACCTCCTCTTCGTAGCGGCGGCTTGGCCTTCTGTGCTAGTCACTCACCACCCACCAAACCACCCCAACCCAACCCGAAGGCCCAAATTTATCCTCGATTTCCAGTGGGGGGGGGTCGGGGAACGTTGAAAAAACACGTGGTATCCGTATCCCCCCCAACCCGAAATTCGGGTCAAATTCGGGTCTTCGGGTTGGGTTGGGGTGGTCTGATAGGTAGTCAGACTTCCCGCCCGCGACCTCCTCTTCGTAGCGGCGGCTCAGCCTTCTGTGCTAGTCACGGGGCTGGGCTGGAGGCCCAAGGTCTCGGCAGTTGGGCCGATTCCGGGGTGGGGTTGGCTGTCGGCGCAGCCTTGCCCGTGGGTCTTGTTGTTGTTGTTCTCTCAGCGACGGCATCTCTAACTTGTCGCAGGCCGGCTGCCATCGGGGGCCTCCCTCCTGGTGTCCTTGAGAGCTGGGCGTTCCAGCCTGTGCACGTGAGACCTGTAGGAACTTCCAGGACACCCGCCCTCATCCCTCTGCTCGTCGTCCTCCACCTGCTCCTCTCCT